TGACAAGTCATTTTCCAAGAGGAAGGCCCTCATACTTGGAGATGAGTGAGCATTGAAATGTTGTGAAATACCACTAGGAGAAGATGATCATACGGGCCAGCAAACCTGCGCAAGAGGCCTGTTGACGAGCTTGATCGGTCGGTCAGGGAGTGGAGGCATTAGCGGGAGCCGATTTCCGACACCGTCCCGATTTCCCCGCGATATCGCGTCGGATATCCGCCGATGAACAGGGGTTGAAGGACGATGTCGGCGGAAGGATCTCTAGATGTGAAAATTTGAAGATATGCGACGGATATTAGACGAGAACGAACTTATAAATCAAGAGTATAGTGATATACCTGAACCAACTCAATACCGTGCCAACAGGGCATCAAAGCACCCAGCACTCATATAAGCTAGGTATAGAGATAATATGTCTGCCGTTTCTCTTCACTAAGCCCCCTTGAGCCATCTAGAGCGACCGCAAGTAGGGTATCTACATGCTGCTGCTCAACAGTTTTCAGACTTGACGAACTATCGTGATATCCCCATCAAATTTATGAGTCAAACCCAATCGTGTTGTGATTTAGAAGATAAAGTGCTAAGTAAGAACTCATTTCCTACCCAGGAAGAGGCTTACCTAGGCTCAACAGAGAAGAGAGTAGAGTTATTTGTTGCCACTTTGCAGTTTGGAGTTCGGCCTGCTTATGAAGAAAACCATCAAAGGGGCTTGGTCAACGCTCCACCATGATTTTCCGACAAAGATTGGTTGAGAATTGTATAAAGAACCAGTGGGGTCATAGACCAGTTTTCATCGCTACCTAGGTAGCTTTCAAATCATTCACATTATTTCAATTGGTCATACGGTCATGATACTAAGTCGATCCAGCTGGGTCATGCTGTTTGCGACCTTATCTGGACAATTAACTTGATTTTCCTTCTCAATCTATTCGCTAGCAAGGACAGACGACTTGCGTTGGACGATACGAGAGCCCAGAATATCTAATGGTAATGTCTTTCTACATAAAAGACGAAGGATAGCTCGCGGAAATCATTCGTTTTGGGGATCTGAGTTGTTACGTTATGTTAGTAATATGTGAGTCTATATACGAAAGATAAAGCAATAAGGGGAATGATTCAATGGAATCAGACCTGGGAAATACACTTCGTGCTTATCGACGTCACAGTGTTAGCTTTGTAATAGCCTCGAATAGATGGTTAAAACCCACAGAAATTTCAATTGAAAGTTATTAATGAGCTTAGCTGTATGCGAATAAATAATTTTGATGGAAGTGGCAGTTACATAATCTCCATGCAGTTGTCAGAATTTTGTGGCCGGTAAGGATGTGATGGTGTCATGAACTTAGAGTCGTTGAGCTTAACCTCCTGACGCTTATCTGTCTGTGGACATAATGGGCGCAGTTTGTTTAGGAAAGGCTCAAATACTCATGCAATTACGAAAACAATAATAATGACTGATTTGACTTACAGGGAGGGAGGCTGCGAATCAGCCCTGAAATCATTGGTGGAACAGCGTGCAGAGAAAGAATTGTCGTGTCATACTGCCCGATCCATACCATGCAATGTTTCAATAAGGCGCTTGAAAGGGCCTCTTCTTGGAGCCATCGGTTGAGATTTTCAAGTCCTTTGGTTGGCATGCTCACCGAAAGTCCCCTTCAAGGCCAAGGATAACATGGTTCGGGGCATGTTTCTAGATGCAGCGACAATCTTTACCATGGTCTGTCAAGTCCCTTTGTATATCGATTGATATTGGGTAATATGAGTAGCTGATTTCAAAAATGTATTTAAGTGCTGTGCTCCAGGAGAATTGGCATGTGGGCTTTTCAAAACTCTCAAATTGTTTGCGCTCTTTCCCTTATTCACAGCCGTCTTCTCCCCGAAAAGACCTAAAATCATTCGTGACCATGGACAAATATGCAGCTCCGTCTTTGTTCCAGCCCCATAATGCCCGTCAGGCAATTCGTGACTGCCACGAGGGAAAGATTCCACCTATGTTGTGTGTCTTCTACGGAATTGCGTCGATTCCTGTAAGCCGGCTTCTGGCCCCGTTTGGATTCGATGCCATTTGGTTTGATTGGGAACACTCCGCGTGCAATATTGAAACGATGACAACAGTGAGTGGGATTATCGCTCGCAGTTTCCGAGCTCCGCTGACCTTGATCGCCGGGAGATCGTTCACGACACCATATTCATGAGTGGGGGCCGCACCATCCCGTTTGTCCGGTAGGAAGAATCACTCACTCTTAAAGGAAACCATGGCGCTGAAAGGCTAATTGATACAGCGTCCCCGGCCACAACCAGTCATTGATTGCATACGCAATGGATGCCGGTGCTAGTATTATTGTCCCGCAAGTCGACACTGTTGAGCAGTGCAAATTTGTCCTCTCAGCCACTAAATTTGGAGCCAAGAACAATGGCACTCGCTCAGCACCCCCGTTCCGTCTGGTACCCGGTATCAGTGACGGGGTGATGCTAGGGGATGACCTGCACCAGTCTCTGAACAATCAAGCAGCCGTCATGATCCAAATCGAGAGTCTGGCAGGCATTGAGAACCTTGATGACATTCTCACCGAGTGCCCTGATGTTGACATGGTCTTCCTCGGTGCCCTCGATGCCCGCGTTAGTATGAATTTACCTGCCAACGCCGGCATGGATTGCTTCGAACCCGAGTGGGTTGCTGCACTGGAGAAGTTCAAGGCTACTATGAAAAAGCACAACAAGCCCCTAGCCGTCTTCAAATTCGGAGAAGACAACATCAAGAAGCTAGATCCCGGATATTCTATGCTTATTTTCGATGCGGATGTCATTCACATTGCTGGTCTGTACCATAGTTTGGGGGCGGTCAAGAAGCTCGTTGCGAAGACCTAGATATGTTCGGAATTATGCCCTTGAATTGTTCTATAGGTAGTACCCGAATTCACCGGAGCTCGATAGAATAGCTAGATACATGGGAACTATTGAATATGTGGAGGAAATGTCGAATAGAATTGGGTTCAGGTCATCAGACCAATGCTGAGCTTGCTACTTACGGTTGCGGGGTTATGAGTGTTCATACCTCAAAGTTCATTCGACTTGTATCAGAACTTGACAAGCATCTATAATCATCTAATACGCAATTTGGAATAGAGTTTCATGATCCAATGATACGATAACAGTTATACACCCTACAGTCCCGTCCGCTGAAAGCATGCCGGTTTAGCCTTTGTATATAAAAACAGATTCATTCATATCCAAGTAATTTTCTATAATCTTTTCTCGCCAGGAGGAGCAACCACTTTCTATCCTCTGTTGCAACTAGCCATAACTGTTAAACCAGCCTTTGAGATAAAATACCAGGTCTTCGGATGTTATAACTGGTGTGCGGTCCACGGCATCCCTCACCTACTGTAGGCTCTTATGCTGAGGTTTAAAATTGTGATATCTACGATTCTACAGTGGAACCAGCCATCATTCATCAGAGGCCATCCCTAGCAAAGGAGGCTATTCAGGGGAGGGGAGGGGAGGGGAGAGCGCGATTTCTGCCTAGAGTCATCGTGACATCAGATGATGCTGAACATTAGTCGATATGCATTTAACCAAGCCGTAGCTTGTATCCCTAGACGGCGATTGATCCGCAAAAGATCCACTGCTGCCTGGAATTCACATGGTTGTATCTAACAGCCAATGCTCCTTAACCCAGAAGCGTGTACCTAAAATCAGTACAGACGTAGTGAACATAGCGTCTTGACATAACGTGGAGGACTAGAAGGAGCCAAGGGAGTGGCATAAAACATGGCATATCTAGATACTTCAGCGTTGAATTTCAACATAATATCAAAACAATCAACCTCATAATAAACACAATATCAAGCTAAACATGATAGAATAATTTATTATTCTCTTATCACTGTATTTGATAAAACCCCCAGATCCCTGCCCTTCGCGAAAAGGGCTTTGGTGTGCCATGTTTTAGCTATGTAATGACAAGATCCATTCGTGAGACTTCTACCATGCCATGGAGCTTGTGAAAGCCCAACGAAGACAGATTCGCAAGTTGTTGAAAGTCGTAGTACCGTCAGATTCAACCTAGAAACCCCAACAATTGTTCCCAAGCTACACCTCGATTCGTGTTAAAGCCTAGGCTACGCGTTCATGGATTCCTCAGGTCATACTCCAGTACTTAGAAGAAATACCCAACTCGCGAGTGACGCTCTTCATAAGCCCCAAGGTCTTCAGGATTTGGCATCCGAAGCCCCAACTGCTTGATGATGAATGGATGATGGTGATGCGGTGGAAACTCGCGGAATCTATCATACTTCTAGATAGAATTTTACGCCGTGGTCAGTTCAGTGACAACCACTTCCCGTCGTGTCTCTACAGTCAGTCCAAGCTCTAAATGTAATGACAATCCCTCGGATCCTCGCCCGTATTTAGACCAATGTCACGGTACCTGTAACCTTCTTCTATCTAGTATCCTGTAACTTTGTTAGGTTCTGGGTTATATCGTCTAAAATCACGACATTGGCAGACCTTGTGAGCAGGACAAATCTGTTTCTCAACCTCGCCGACACTCGTCGCTCGTTTCTTGACCTAAATAGAGGTGTAGTATACAGTTTTCATAATTATTACGTTTTCAACTTTGCAATATTATATATACTTCTTTAAGGCCAGGACAGTAATATTATCAATTGATTAGAATAATAGAGTAGTGCATAGCTTGACTTGGCTGTAGTCGACGGAGACGCTTTTGTCTCAGCTTCCAGCCAGAGGCATATGGAGGTCAGCCACCGAAGTGTGGTCTGTCATAGACTGAATCGCGGGAGGTGAAGGATCAGACTGGGTTAATATGACTGCTGTTACGTGTCGTAAGGGACACCCTTGCTTATGAACATGTACCCTACGCAGAGCCAAAAGCTTCCGAAGCCTCCATTTCTGCGAAAGGCTGTATATAAATGGCGTTGTCTTATTTTCATCCTTTCAATATAGAAAGCCGTCTAGTATGTAAATGATGCTGTACTGAATTACATATCACGGCTTGAACGGTCTCCATCATTCCAGAGACTCTGTTCCAGCAGCTCCTCCAGCCTTCCAAGTTGTATCCCTTGAAACGAACTCCATCCAGGCGGCTTCCCAGACTGCATGCCCAAAACTGGCCGCGGGCCGGTGGACAAAGGGCGCACCAGGTTCATGGCCAAGGTCGTGCGGTTGAGTTCGTACGGGTTGTCCGCGTGTATACCTGACCCCGGGATTAACTCTATTGATGTGCCCTTCTCTAAGCGCCCTGGCCACCACGCATAGGCACATACCGCTGGGCTGAATTCGACCACATACTGATCGCCTTGCACGTCAACAATCCGCGCAGGCAAATATAGCTGTGAGGTTTCAGCCGTATGATAGTGGAATCGAAAATCAGGATACATGACGGGTGCATTGATAGAGTCTCCAATGTGTAAACAGCGAAACGGTCGAACATCATGCTTGGTCATGTCTCTCTTCCATGGCCGCCATAGTCTTCGGGTGCCTTTTCCAAGGGCTTCCAACATCTGCTCCGAAAACAAGCCGCCATATTCGTCACTACTATCGCTTTTGCTCTCTTCAACTGGAGTGTCGGGTTCGGCTCCTGGTGCGATCTGGTCCCAGTCGACAAACTCGATCTCGTCTTCGTCTACTAGCGTAACTCTCGACTCGTACCAAAGCCCATCATATTCGACCTTTGTAAACACACAGTGTTAAAATTCACTCGCTATCTCCAACAGTGGACCTACTTACCTGTATTTTTTCACCGATTCTTGGAGCTTGGTAGAAAACCTTTGACGGTCCCAATAAGACAAATTCCAGCTGTGGTGTTGGAGCATCGGATTGCACGTCACTCAGTAGCATTCCGTCGAATGAAGCCTTGATTGGAGTCGTCGAAAATACGTATGTATTGGCTCCAGCTCCAGCCGTGATAGTATAATTCCCGCCAAAACAAGCCTTAAACTCTGCGATGTGAGTATCCGAGGTCCACCCATATCTTCCCGGTTCCAGCTCGCATCGGATGGATATTGGAGCGCCGATGTAGATGCCCCCAACTGGTCGCGTCTTATTGAGCAGACTTTTCTGCTCTATTTGGCCGGTTTGTAAGTAGCGAACATGGATGTGAATATCGCGAGCCGTGTCATTAAAGCAAGGGATGAGACTTTCACTACTTGCTTTCATAACGTCATCTTCAGTCATGATTCCCATTTCTGTCGGCGTTGGAACCGCCACAATTTGAGCAGATATCCAGCCTACATGGTGAGAGGGGGATTCTATAGAAGCAGGTAGAGCGATATCGCCTGATTCCCTCTCACATTCGACCAGGACTCCAAGTCCTGCATTCTCAAGGACCAGTTTTCTAAGCGTCTCCGACAACGACGAGCCTTGAAGAAAGCTCAAGTAGTCTTGCGGCTTGACATAACCCTTATGTAGAGGGTCAAGTATTGACTGCAGAGCCGGGAGCCAAAGTGGTCTAATTGTAGAGAGGCGGCGCGTGCCATATTGGTCGATGTGATACTGACGTCCCAGTGGTCGAACAAGGTCGGTAGTTGGCGTTTCCCAAACTCCAGTTGGGATATTGTTCAGAAAAAAAGGAAGATTCTATCTCGCGCACGAAGCGTGCCCATGAAACGTACAGCATCTGACATAATGATGAGCATGGATGCACGTTCAGTCTTCAAAGAGCCAATCTCACCTCGTAACGAAAGCTGGAGGTACTTAACTCCTTCTTCTGAAACCTGCTTTTCCAGAACGCCACTCCTTCTGGATTTGTTTTCTCATGATGTTTTATGGCAGAAGTATCAGGATGGATAATACTATCCTCAAGCTGTTGTCGAAGGCTCTTGCACTCATCCATAAGGTTACCCAAGATGATGTCAATGCTCGCAAAATTAGTACTGAAATCCAGGCCACTGGCTTGGTTGTAGTCACGCGCCGTTAGGGTTGAGTTTCCAGAGCTACTCATTCCTGGAGGAGGTTGCTCTTGATTTGTTCTGATGTCCTGCAGAATCACAACTGACACAGCGCTGTGGATTTTCTGAAGCTGCTCCGCCTTGCGCTGAATCTCCGTCAGAAGCCCTGGAATTCTTTTTACGACCAAGATTCGACGTATCAGTTTCCTACCAAATGCTTCCCGGCTTCCATCCGCGGCCGTGTGCCCAGATGGGTCCAAATCTAGAACCTTGGCGCATTTTGCGCAAGACTTGGCGATGCTCTCTAGAATGTCCAAGATTGACACAAACTCTGAGACATGTTCTTTCAGGATGCTTTCATTGGCGGGATTTTCGAAAACAATCAGTAACAACCTCAAATTCGTGGTCAGAAGTTGGAGGTCTTCGGCGGCTTGGTTGATTGCATCCAGCCGCGCCTTCAGCTCAACGCCCAACTTGATCAGGACAAGAAGGGTGGACTGGATGTCCCCGACCAGCATTGTCGCCAATTGGAGCAAGGCGATGTGGGCTCCCGTCAATATCTAGCAGATAGTGCCGCCTTTAGCTCTACTTACGCGTTCAGGAGGTGGAGCTCCCAATGCATCTGTGGCTGGTCGTGATGGAGGGTAACGGGCGGCACGGGAGCGATCCTCCCCGCAGCGACCTAGGCTGGAAGTAAGTTGATCATGTTATTACTCCAGGTCCTCTTGATGCGTGTCGCACCGTTATGTAATCCAAGTAAAGAACAAGTCTCTCACCCGAGCCCAGCCAGGCATTGAGTCCTACCGACGTTGTACACGCTGGGCTGCTGACCCTGAAGAATTAGGCTGGCGGGGTGGCTACGTAATGGCAACTCTTGGGAGATCAGGCTTCAATTGTGAACGAACTCCACGGGAAAAAAAACCTTTCACTGACGCTTCGGCAGCGACCCGACCCTAGCTCTCACCCTAGTGATCTATCTCTACATCCACATTCAACCACCCGACCTCAGCCATGGACGCCTGGCTCAACAAATCGGGGGCCGTGGGCTTGGACGACCTCGATCTCGCCGACTTCCCAGACACGGGGCGGGGTGTCAAGGCCCAACGGCCGTTCAAGGAAGGCGAAAGGATTCTTACCGTTCCAGCCAACTGTCTATGGACTGTCAAAGGCGCATATGCCGATCCGCTTCTCGGTCCGGTCCTTCAATCTGTTCAGCCGCCTCTATCTGTCGAGGACACATTAGCTTTATACATCCTCTTTGTGCGGTCGCGCGAGAGCGATCCCGCGTACGCGGAGCGCCAGTCCCATGTCGCTGTGCTGCCCAGCGAGTATACTCTAAGCATGTTTTTTACCGAAGAGGAGCTGAGAGTCTGCGCTGGCTCCTCACTCTACACTCTCACGACGCACCTGAGAGGGAGAGTTGGGGACGACTATAAAAAACTTCTCACCAGCGTATTCATGCGCCACCGTGACCTCTTTCCATTGGACAATTTTTCCATTCAAGACGTAAGTTCGTGGCATGCATTATACCATCATGAACTGACACGTAGCTCTATTAGTACAAATGGGCACTAAGTTCCGTATGGAGTCGTAGCATGGACTTTGCCATATCTGAGGGCAACTCTGTTCGCCTCATAGCCCCGTTCGCGGACATGCTGAACCACACGCCTGATGCGAAGCAATGCCATGCCTACGATCTATCAACCGGAAATCTCTCCGTCCTTGCTTGCAGAGACTATCAAGTTGGAGACCAGGTGTGTTCCAAGCCCGTAGTTGTAAGATTACAACTGACCTATGTTCCCTAGGTATTTATTTACTACGGCAGTATTGCGAATAGTCGTTTGCTACGGCTTTACGGCTTCGTTCTGCCTGATAACCCCAATGACAATTATGAACTTGTCCTGCAGACAAGCTCTATGGCGCCACTGTATGAGCAGAAAAAAAGACTGTGGAAGCTCGCTGGCTTGGACGAAGTCTCGACTATTCCACTTACTCTCAGAACCCCTCTACCAGACAGCGTTCTTCGATACCTCCGAATCCAGAGGCTGGATGAGTCTGAACTGGGTACTATGACGATGCAGATTGCGACAGAGTCATATAAGAAAATAAGTGATGAGAACGAATCGCAAGTCCTGCAATTCCTGAGTGAGTCGATCGGAGCGCTGCTCAAGGGCTTCGAGATTCCTCTAGAAAAGCTCGAGGTGCAACTGGCGGAAGGTCTGTATTCTCCAGGGAGCAATGCCTGGGCTGCTGCTCATGTTTGCTTGGGTGAGCAGCGAGTCCTCAAGGCAGCTAAGGAGAAGACCGATGCCCTTCTGGCGTCCGTTGCGAATGGGAGTGCTTCGCTGCCTCCAACAAAACAGTGTGCAAACTGCAACAAGGACTCTGAGACTGCGAGGCTATTGGCCTGTGGCAAGTGCAGGGCTGTTAAGTATTGTGGGAGGGAGTGTCAGGTTGCGCACTTCAAGGAACATAAGGCACTTTGTCATTCGCTCTCTATAAGAAAGTAAATAGATATAACTTAATATCTATAAAGTAGTTCTAAGATAAATAAAGCTAGTTTATTTTAAGAAAAAAAATATATATAAATTTAATATTATAATATTATTATTTAATTTAATTAAGTAATTAAATAGTTAATAAAGATATAATTAATTAATTAATTATAATAAGCTTTAAGTTAGAGAGAAAAAGTAGTTATTATTATTAGATAATAGCTTCCTCCCTTAGGGGCTATAGCTAGGTTTTATATCTAGCTATTAAATAACTCCTATTAGTAGAGTTTTTTCTAAAATTAATATCTATATCCAGACTAAAAGTATAATTTTTTAACTTTTCCTTATAGTATTAAAGATTTAGATATAAACTACTAATTATATTCTTAAAATTATATAGTTAGATTATATATTATTTAATCTTAGAATTAATTAGATTCTTATTTATAGTTAAAAAAAACAGATAATAATATATATATTTTAAATAATAAAGAGATTTAATAATTATAATAATTAAAGATATAATTTTTAATTCTAATATATTATATATTTTTTTTATAGTTATTACTATATATAAAGAAGATATTCTAAGATCAGGCTATATATAATAAGATTTATATAACTTATTTTTTACTTATTTATAATCTATATCTAATTTATAACTCTATTCCTTATACTTTACTTTTTATATAAACTATAGTAAGATAATAACTTTAGTAAAAAACTCTAATAAGGCTTTACTAAATATATAACTTAGCTATAAGCTCTAAAAGAGAATATTTATTAATTATAATTAACTATAAAACTCTAAGTAAGTAAGTATATAAATAAGTAAATTTTTTTTTTTTTTTTTTTTTAGGGTTTTTTACTATATATAAGGGATATCCCAGGATCAGGCTATATATAAATAAATAAGTAAATAAATAAGCTTATTATTACTAATTACTAACTAACTATAGTTAACTAACTAAATAAATAATTATATAATCTCTTCTTATAATAATAATAATAGCTTCTAATATAATTATCTTAAGTAGCTAAGATCTAATTATAATAATAGACTAGGTTCTTATATATATAATAAAGATAATTAATAATAATCTATAGATTATATATAATAAATATATCTAATATT